AACTGAGAGCTATTTCACATCGCTGCTGCACCTGGTGGAATCACAAGCAATGGATTGGCTGGTAGCAATCAGCTTCGGCTAGCATGCCATAGACAGAATGTGACGCAGCTGCACCCGGTGAAAATGAGGGGAAAGACTTGAAGGTCTGTGAAACATTGCTGATTTGTCGGAGCCATCCTTTAGTGAAGTACTGAGTCATGCTACTAAAAAAATGTTTATGTACAATAATCATTTTGGTTTCATTTTAACGTGGTATGACTTGTGTATTACTTTCTTGAAAGTAAAATTGAATTATGGTTTTGGTTGCATGAACATGGTCAATATAGTTTAGTTTGTGTTAATCATGTAAACTGTCCTGCTGGCATAAATTCTCACAAGTGAACTAAATATGCACTAATCAAGAGAAAATAGCTAATGCACATTTACTTTTGTTTGAATAACATTTGTTTTTACATTTGTATCATTAGTTTCTAAGTATGTTTGACTCAGACAAGGTCTGAATGAGGTTGAGTGTTGCAGAGCACTGAGAGGCAGGCTTGGGCTTGAACCCCTGTCTGTGAATGTAAGACAGTACCAAAGAACATTTAAGTCTGTAATTGATGAGACACAAACAAAGTACTCTATATTAATAATGTGCAGATTTATTTATTCCATACACTGCACAGGACCATATATCAGGGAGTCTAGTACTAAGTCTTGAAGCTGGCTCTGAGTTCCAAATTCACAAAACCGAAAGGTGTGATGTTCACGATGCAACTTATTCACACCTTTCCAGGACATACCCTCCCCAACAGTATATGAGCTCAATCCAAAAATAAAAGATTCTCAAAGCAGAGAGCATTTGTGATTTGTGTACTGTATGTCTGCGTGTAGCTAGCTACCAAGCTGGCCTTGATTCTTTAGTTGGCAAATTGTGAGGGGCTTAGGTTTGAGGCTAGTATTCTCCTCTCCTCTTGCACACAAACACACACAAGAGTTTAGTCTCCTACTTGTCCTCCTTCAGTCACTCTGACACACAAAAAGAATTCTGCACACACAATTCTCCCAGTTCGCCACAATACATTTATCAGCCCAACCCAGCAAACAAGATTCAGCCCAAAGTCCTAGGCACACCCAGAAGCCACAATCCAGTGTGTGTTAGAGTGAGAAGATGCATGAGACAGAAATCCACACACAGAGAGGGAGGGAAAGACAATGGATACTAATGTGGGGCTCCCAAAGTCAAACACTATTTGCCATGTAGATTACCCTCCCCTCATCTCTTTGCCTTCATTTTTCACTGCAGCTTGCCTTGTGTGATGCAAGTGCAAGTGGATTGTGTGTGTTTCTTAAAATTAAATACAATTTTAATGATGCCCTGGATACATGCCTGTGGGTGTACAGAAAATGCCTTTCTGTGCTGTCTGTCCTTGTGTGTGCGTGTGTGAGACTAACCGGGAAGCCTTTCATGGTATTTTTAGCTTATTACCAAACACATAAGCTTCTAAAAGGCCTATTTTTTATGACAAATAGCACAAAGTTAAGCTCCTGACAAAAAAAAAAATGTCAGCAGAACAAGAAAAGCCTCACGAATACTTGCCTTGCTCTTCTTTCTTTTAATACTGTCAGTACAGCTTTAAAAGGATTTAATATGCAGCAAAAAGCAACTATGCACAGTCAGGTGTTGTCAAAATTAGGCCAAGTGAATGTTCAGAAATTCTGTTTACCTCTGTAATGTCACTCGCTATGCAATTTCTAAATGAATAGAAGCACACACACAGAAACCCTCGAGGGAACACCACATTCACAAAGTTTAAGAAATTCTGCCAGAAACCTGCAATTAAAATTGAGCTGGTGAGGTTTTGAGATGTAGCAAAAATAAATAAATAAGTGCCAGTTTAGGAAGTGACACCCGACTTGTTCCGCATCACTGTTGCCATTACAATACACATTTGTGTGTCTCACTCCATGTGATGAATAGTTTTGATTAAGCATCCCAGTTCTCTGACTTACTACCAGTTTAACAAGTGACACCTGATGGGGCCGCCATCACTGCAGCTCAGCATGCTTATACACAACCTTCACTTTACTGGCTCCAAACCTTTTTTACCCATTACTTTATTATGTTTAATAATGCAGCAGTTTCAGTAATGAAGTTGAAAAATCATAACAGGCTGAGTTCTATTGAATAATAATGTATTGGTTGTGTGTTGTGTTTTTATAGAATGGATAAGTTAAGCCAATACTGAATTCTCATTCCACTTTTCTTTAATTATCAACTTTCATAAAATCTCTTAGATAAGTAAAAATTTGTCACATTGCTGTGAAGAATTTTTTTAAATTTTATATGTGGGGGAACAGGCCTATTTTTAAAAATAAATTCCAGTGTCTTATTCTTAAATTATACTATTAATAATATTTCCACAACTTGTAATGAGTTTGACCCCTCTTCTTCTAATCAGGAGCGGATCTAAAAAACTTTGGATGTGGTGGCCAGGCTGGGACACAGACTCAGAGAGGGTTGGTACATTTGAAATACATGTAAACAGTAAATTAAACCCCTATACCCCCACCACAACACAAACAGTGAAATGAATGCAAGTATCATGATACATGAATGATGTAAAATAAAATTAATTTTACCAATATCAATTACAAAGCACCAGCATCATATCACTCTGGCAGGAGTGGCACCAGGGGTAGCCAATCAAATTCTGGGGGTGGCCGGTGCCACCCCTGGCCACCATCTTGGCCTCTAGTACATATTACTATTGTTATTACTGTTATGGTTTAGTCCCCCTCACCATGAGGGTGACGAAAAACCGAGGTAAGACTCAAGATGCCTGACCCAGGTGCTAGTACAAAAAAAGGAGGTTTAATGGAATAAAAACACAAAGTACAACATGACAAGGTCCATAAACATATACAGTCCGGGTAAGGCAGAGATGGTGGAGGAGACCAGGACGACCAGGGGAGGAGACAAGCTAACCGCAGGAACCAAGACAGTAGGAGAATGAGGACGGACAGATGAAAGAAGAAAGTGGCAAACGATAAAAGAAACCCAAAAGCAAAACAGCTGAGGCACCGATCCCACAAAAAGAGTAGGAGAGAGAAAAGAAAAAGAGAGGCAGGTCGAGAGAACAGAGGAGAGAAAGGCGGAAGAGAGGCAGGTCACACCAAGCGGACCTGACAATTACTATAACCATTATTCCTTTAGATCATACTGTTGCTGCCACTATTAGTCAACAAAAGGATGGACAACAGAGGTGATAATGATATTGTCTGAAATGATGGACAATTTACAGTTAAAGTTTGTTGATGCGTGGTTTGTCATGTGAGAGAATCAAATTGTGTGTGTGGATCTTTTATTGACTTTAAAGAATGACTTTGGCATATTACAGCTTGGGTTTTGTATGCATACTGTAGTCTAATGCATTCCCATTAGAGATGATAACATTGTACTAACCAGGTAATTGCTGAAGTAAATACCTAAATACCCATTGTATTTAGGTATTTACCCTTATCACATTATTGTAACTTGTGACAACTGTTCAGCAAATGTTACATTGTTTTCCTTTAAAAGCTCAACATAAAACTAAAACACTGCATAACAACCATGTGTTGTAAACAGGGAGATGCTGGATTTACTTCAGTTGCTTATTTAGTTAGAGCTTACTTGACAAAGCAGTAAAAATAAATATATGGTATCCTTCCTTGTTTGGGACTGTCCCTTAAAAATATACATAAAGGTACTGTTCTCTCTTTAGTCCCAGGAAATTAGCTTGTTCCTGATTGTCTCTCAAATACTATATTTTGTCTGGTTTTAGGTACTTGAAATTTGTTTCTCACTATGTGTGTGCTGTTTGTTGTTATGGTGTTGCTTGGTCTCTATTGCTGCTGGAACACAGGAATTTTCCCATTGTGGGATCAATAAAGTCCTACCTTACCATACAACAACAGCTCTGCCAGAGTTTTAGCCATACAACATCAGATGTCTCCTCAGGCACAACACAAAAACTGTAACATACAGCATACTGGAGGTATTAGAGGCTCATCGGGCTTTAAAATAATGTGCGTGTGCCCAGGTAGGTTATCGCATGTTGATGACTGCACTCTATTTGTCAGTAAATTTGATTATTAACACAGTTACAACACCTCACAGGTACACACTGTATAAATGGAATGTTACTGAGAATAACCTGCATTTAGTTTGGAGCTATAAATCATCACCGTCCCAACAGCTAGATCTGGAACAGCAAAAATCTTATGCAACACAGTCCCTGTCCAGCTGTCAAAGTTTGGTCTTATTCATTGTAACATCCTCAGCCTGTCTGAGTCAAAATGAAATGGAGCCTCATTTAATATGAAGTTATGGCCTCAAACAACAGCTTATTGTGTTTATTCAAAGGAATAAAACATTTTAATCAAGCAGCGCTTTTTCAGTTAAAATATTGATTGTCAGGGTTTAGTTGAAAAAGCTCTTCAACAGTTTTGAAGAAAATAATACAGCACCTTTCTAAACCACAGCAAACTAAATCTACACCAAAACATATGTAAGTACTGAATAATCTTTTTTAGACTGTCTCAATGTCATAATCTTGCTTGCTGTTCATGTATTTTATGGCCTCTCTCAGGACTGGAATCACTCTCCACTTTATCAGCCTCATTTACTTTTTTAATTTAATGTCTAAATGTCACATTTTTCTCACATATGAATCCAATACATACCCTTCTTAACAGCACTCTGTGTTGGATTTGAAAATGTCTCACTTTGATGCCATCCAGGCCAGGAGCAGTACCAAGAATGACACTATGGCAAATAGCAACACTAAAAGCAAAACATAAGATCTCCAGTCCAGTCCTGTTTTTATGCGCATTTTCAATTTGCGCACAAAAAAACAAAAACAACAACAAAAAAGTGCAAACAAACCAAAACCTAATTCGATGCAACTTCATCATAAGCAGTCTGTCTATCTCAACGCCAACTCATCAAGTTTCCTTTAAACCATTACAGTTCTTACCTGATTCCATGAACTCTTGGTTGAAGCTGCTCCAGCTGTCTTTGATCTTAACCAGATTGTCCTCCATGACTTTTATGTCAGCGAAGGGACAGTTGCATTCTGGAAAACGGGGAGAGCACCGGCACCAGCAGTCATTGTTGCGGCAGATCAACTCGCCCTCTGAGTTGCATGCCACATAACTGAGGGCTGCTTCCACAAAACGCCCACGCAGGAACTCTGGCAGGACGTCTTGCAAACCTATAATAAAAAATGAAACACATGGTAAGGTATTGATAATTTTTGGAATAAAGTGCTTGCATATTTGCAAACTGGTTTCATGTGTTGTTTTTGTGAGGCTCAATGTGGAAATTATTATTATTTATTCAGGTAGTTTCATTTAGATCACAAAAGATACCTTTTTCAAAAGAGACCTGAGAACAATAACAATCATAGTCTGAAAGCTCTTAAGACACAGCCAACAAAACAAACAGATAGTCACAGAGAGTGTAATAATAAAATCCGATTCATAAAACACAACCACGAAAAAAAAAAGCAGACAAATATCCAGTAGAACTGGGAAAGAATCAGCAAAAACAATCATGAATCATATACTGTAAAATATCACATAATATTTTAAAATTAGACAAAAAAAATAGTCTAACATTCCATTTTAAGGGAGCATATTACATAAAAGCAATTTTGCTAAGATTAATGTGTACATATGGGACTTTCGTAGGTACAGTAGTAGCTGTAAGTAGTTGTTGGATCCAATATTGTAGTTGCAAGATTTAAACAAGAGAAGTGATGTGAGGTAGTCTGGAATCAGAAAGACTTTATAAATACAGTAAAGAACAAGAGATGGTTAATTCTTCTTGACTGCAAAGAAATCCATTTGACTTTGTTTTACAAAGCAGTGATGGGTAAAGAATTTATAATTTGTAATAAACTGTTATGCACTGTGACAAACAGGATTCAGCTGCTGACTTCCTGCTGTTGGAGCAGCATGACAGTACAGAATATCCTCATAATCAAGAGCAGCCATAAAATATGATTGAACTACAGTTGTATAATATTGAAAAGACAATCTTTAATCCTATGAAGACACAATTTAATTTTTAAATCTTGTGTCAGTGCTGGGATCTCACAGCAAGAAGGTTACCGGGTTCAAGCCCAGGCCAACCTGGGCCCTTTTTATGCGGAGTTTGCATGTTCTCCCTGTGCCTGCATGGGTTCTCTCCGGATACTCAGACTTCCTCCCACAGTACAAAGACATGCAGCTTAGGTTGACTGGTGACTCTAACTTGCCCGTAGGAGTGAGTGAGTGTGAGTGTGTGTGGTTATTTGTCTACATGTCAGTCTTGTGACAGACTGGTGACCTGTCAAAGGTGGACCCCACCTGGGATCGGCTCCAGCCCCCCTGCGACCCTAATCAGGAGTAAGCGGTATAGATAATGGATGGATGGATGGATTGTACTGTATATGTGTCTTAAATGATGATCTGTTGTCAAGCCAATTACCTAAATACTTACTGTATGAGTCAACCAAAAATACAGTATATAGATTCCATTAAAAGCGTTAATACCAGGTGAGTTTGCAACACTAATGGATGAAGAAAATTCCAAGTATTTGGTCTTATCTGCATTTAGAATAAGTCAATGATCAAGAAGTGCCATTTGAAAGGCGTCAAAGGCAGTTTGGAGATGAGTTAAGGCCTGAGCTAAGGTAGGACCTGACATATACAGTACTGTGCAAAAATCTTAGGCCACCATTGGCTTTGTTGTTTTAGCAAGGTGGCAAAAGCCAGGGTCTGTCATAGGTTACTTCCATCAAAGAGCTGGGAGTTTTTGCTCCCCGCTGTCACCAAATGCTTGCTGAGGTGACTTTTGTTGTGATTTAGCGCTATACAAATAAATTAGAATTTTGAATTGAATTTTTTAAAATAATTTGTATTTATTTCTCAGTCTCTTTATTATGCTATAACCAGAAAATATGTACACATTAAAAACAAATTTTTCAGACCTTGGATTCTGCAGTGCAAAGTCAGTATTTATTGTGACCCCCCCCCCCCCCCTTTCCCCCAAC